GTCTTTTGTGCATTTTTCAATAGATTCCTGTGTGTGCATTATGAAATGACAAATTATTTTATGGTGCGATGAGGTTTGTAGTGGTGTATATAAAAATCAAGAGGACCTATGTAGAGTATACCATACATGATTTTAATCCAAGCTTTTTATATGGAAAGTTAACAAGTTTCTGACATGTACCCTCTTTCTTTTTTTTCCTCTGTTAAAATGCTTCAAATACTCTCTTTCAAGATGTTCCTTATCTTGATTATTTCTAAATCCTTTACAGCTTTATATTATCTTTTTTAAAATGACCATGATGTTAACTGTACCCTATAGTCTTAAGTATGGTCAAAATACCAAATGAAAAGATAATAAAATAGTGGAAGCTTTATTTTTAACTTTTCTAATTATTTTCTTCAATTTTTTTTTCACAACTAAACATTGAATAGTTAATCCGAGCAGAGTTGTGAAAACTATATAGATATTTTTCTATGCAACTAATTATGAAATTAAAAGAGGACCATTCCTTAATTATAACTATGTGACATTAGTTCAGGAGACTATGGAAAGAAACTATGTGGAAGTTTTCTAAGAATCCACTGTTACAGAATTTTGAAAGGAAGATAGGGCTTAACCTATACAAAAGCCAAGATATTCTTTTTAACGGGACGTAAAAAGTTATTCAAAATCCTTTCCCAATTTTCCCAGAATAGTCTTTAAATTGTTCTATAATTTCATAGCCCCATTTCCCCAAACCTTTTTTAAAAAATATGCTACACTAGTCACTTTTCTGTCCTCTAAAATAGAGAATGGTTTTAGGGCAGTATTGCAATGTTTTGTTAAAAGATTAGATGAACAGGGCTTGGATGTAGCAACAAGATTGTTTTGGTCAAGGCACATCTTCTCTGGTCATGCTATTTGCCTCAAACTCATAATATACTCTTAACCCCAGTACCTATCATATGTTTTCTGCAGTAAGCACAATCATTTTGCAATTTCTTTTCCCCATAAAGTCCATCAAGTTCTCTAGAGATCATCCCTGTGTTGCATGTATTTAAAGATATTTGTAATGTGGGTAAGATGCTTCTTGAAATCTATTTTCCCATGTTTTAACTATAATTTCCTTCCTACAAGTTTCAGTTCTTTTGTATTGCCTGTGTTGGGGCAATATCTTTGTTTTCTGGGGTAAATTTTGAGTCTAGCTTGACTCTTGTTAACTTCACGGACACAGCCATATAGCTTTCTTGGCATGATTCAGAGATAGCTCACCATTGTGTTTGTCTGTATTTTTATCTTTTACTTTCTATTCTAACTTACAACCCTTGAATTTCTTGGAAGTCTCCCATTGAACCAGGCTCAACCCTGCTTAGCTCGTGAGTCAAGACCTCTGACTTGAATCCTCACATATATAATGGGCTCAATCCTAAACACTTTTGTTTTGTAGTTAAAAGCATGTAGCAGAAACGTAACTGCAAATTAATTTTGCAGAAGAATAGGTGTAAATTTAAAACATGTAAATAGTAGGAATAGAAAAAACTCTAAATAGTTCTTCCTCTATTTTACATTCAGACTATGAAGTTATAATTGCAAAAAAGCCCTTGAATTGTATTATGGATTTATATGTAGTGTGTACCAGTATTACTACTTTTATTCTTGCAGTTAGTCAATAGCTTGCAGCCACTTCCATAATAAATATACACAATTAGATTTTTTATATCTTGTTTGTCCCAATCTTTCTGCATACTCATTTGAAGAACTGAGGTTCCTTTGGAATACATATACTTCAAGAAATATCTTCGAATTACTTGTTGAATAATCTATATTTTACTTCATATTTATTTCCACATTACCTTTGTATTAATATTGTTGGTATTTCTCACTTCAAGCTATATTTTGTTGATTGAAAGAGTAGTTTATTCATTTAATTTACCACAACTTGAATATTATTAAAATGAAAAAAATGATATTCTACTGTTTTAACAGTTGTAACTTTGAGAAAGCCATACAGATAGTCCTCATCTTGCAACCATTGAGTTAATGTGTATTCAAAGTTACAGTGACTAATGGCTATTTTTCACGTTTTACGACCATTGCAGCATCCCCATAATCATGTGATCAAAATTCAGACGCTTGCAACTGGCATGTATTTATGACAGTTTCAGTGTCCCAGGGTCACCATTTGTAACTTTCTTTTTTTTTTTTTATTGCAAAAGTTTTACAATTACATTTTCACCCCTTTTTCCCCCCCAACACCCACCCCAAACTTCCCAACCTCCCTAACCCTCCCTCCTCCCCTCCCCCCAGACTTCCCTATAATATATTCATACTCATAAAAAACCCTTAATATAACACTTATATGTAAACTTGAACCCCTCCCTCCCCTGTGTAATTTTTCTTTACCTCATTACATTAAAATATTTCCACTACATTACATTATTTTCAAATAAAAGCTATTTGATACTTTCTAGTTTGATATTTGTTCTGAACATATTCTATCCACCTTTTCCATTCCCATTCATAAGTCTCTTGTGAACAATCTTTTAAGTATGCTGAAATCTTCGCCATCTCTGCAAAACTGGCCATCTTCAAAGTCCATTCCTCGATAGTGGGCAAAGCTTCATTCTTCCAGTATTTACCTATCAACAATCTTGCTGCTGTTATCATATACAATATCAATTTTGTTTCACCCAATGTAAAACCCTTAACTATACCCAATAAAAACAGTTGTGGAGAAAATTGAATTTTTTTCTTCAAAACATTCTGCATGACCCACCAAATTTTTATCCAAAAAGCTTTAACTTTCCTACAGGTCCACCAAACATGATAATACGTAGCATCCAAACATTCACATCTCCAACATTTTGGCTGAACATTAGGGTACATACATGACAACTTTTTGGGATCTAAATGCCATCTATAAAACATTTTGTAGAAATTTTCCCTCAGATTCTGCGACTGTGTAAATTTAACATTCTGAACCCAAATTTTTTCCCATGTTTCCAGCATCACTGGTTCTTCAAAATTCTGTGCCCACTTAATCATACAGTCTTTAACTAATTCAGTTTCTGAATCTCTTTCTAGCAAAACATTATAAAGCCTTTTGATATGCATTGGACCTTTCTCTCTTATATGTCTAACCAATTCTTCCTCATGCAACATAATACCAGTTTTTTGGTCCTCTTTCCATCTCAATTGTAATTGATTATACTGTAACCAAGTTAAATTAATCCCTTCGTCCAACAGTGTCTGCAATGTCTTCAACTGCCATCTGCCCGCATCTGTAAAAAGAGCCTCTTTATATAAAAACCCCCCGAGTGACATTATATTTGTATTCCACAAAGTATGACCAACTGGCATGTATTTATGACAGTTGCAGTGTCCCAGGGTCACCATTTGTAACTTTCTGATGAGCAAGGTCCAAATCCATGTTACTAATTTAACAACTGCAGTGATTCCCTTAACAGCTGTGGCAGGAAAGGTCATAAAATGGGGGGCAAAATTCACTGAACTGTCTCGCTTAGCAACAGAAACTTTGGGCTCAATTGTGGTCATAAATTGAGGACTACTTGTATTTCAAATGTAATCTTTCCTCAAGGAACTTTTCTTTATAGTGGTATCTCACTGTACCACTGTTATGGACTATGTATGCTGGGGAAGTCCCCCAGGATTTTTCTACATTATCAAGCTCTGGATACCAAATAAAATGCTTCTACACACAGACTATTAGGGTATAAAAACCTGCCAATGGTTTTTTATCACGTGCTTAGGATTTTCAGTTTAATTTTTTTTTTCAAGAAGAGAAGCAATGTGCAATTAATGAAACAATAATAATGTATTATTTTAATCATACACCACATTGCTTTGGCACCTGCAAGAATAATGAGTAATTTCAAACTACTGTATAACTAAATAATGGTTCACATATGGGGAAAAAAAACTTAGTATTTGGAGATTTCTAAGAAAAAACTTCTGAAACCTTGGAAAATAGCACCTTGTTGGTTTTGAAAATTATGAACTAGTTATATCAACAATCTGACAGTAGGGCATCTTCCTATATATCTATATTCAGAATCAAGTGCTATTGTCTACAGAAGTCCTTGACATACAAACGGCCACTTAACAACATTCAAAGTACTTACAACCTATATTCAAAGTTCTGACAACTGTTTCCTCCCTCGCAACCACATGACTGCATTTTAGGCAGTCTGAAACAAGCCCACTTTTACAATCATTTGCAGCATCCCATAGTCATGTGATTGATTTACGATGTTTTTTTGCTGGAAATTGGCATTTCTGGTTTCTGGCAAAAACTGCCCATTTCGGACAGCTATGTAATTGCCTAACAACCATGGTGATTTGCTTAACAATTTCTGCAAAAATATCATAAAATTAGGTCGGTCACGTGATGACCCATTTAATGACCAGCATAATTTTTGACTTTAATTCAGCCTCTATTTTGGTTGTAAGTCAAAGACTACCTGTACAGGGAGTCTGTGTCTTTGAAAAGTATTGTTAAAACTTCAGCCTACGTGGAATAATTTGACCCAATGTACATTTTATTTGGAAATAAATCTCATGAATCTTTCTTTTAAACTGAAGGGAAACAATAATAAGGATAGAATATAAAATACTGATATACTAGATTTAGTAAAAACTTGTATACTAAATCTAATATATACTGATATACTAGATTTAGTAAAAACTTGTATACTAAATCTAGTATATACTGATATACTAGATTTAGTAAAAACTTGTTATTCTGTAACCATTAGGTTCCTGTAAGACATATATTGTGCCTTTGTAGTTGTATCACATATATTATTCCTTTATATTTTGTTACAAACATATTGTTATTATCTGGTATTTGTCAAAAGTATGTCCCTACCATTTGATCTAAACCCATATCAATCTTCTTCCTGTTTTTCTTGTGCCATCTAAGAGCATGGTATGTATCTCAGTGGAACTGCAGACATCAACCAAGAGATAATTTACACCTCAGCCCTAATTTATGTCTTTGATCTGTATAAACTCGTTCCTTGCAGAACCAGGGGGCCAAATGGCCAATTGAGAAAACAAAGGAATGCTCAAGGACGAGATAAGACTAATTGGGAAGTTTCTATTCTCTTGCAGGGCAACAAGGAATACACAAACCTAAATTAGGAGGCCAGAATTGGGTACTAAGCTGATGTCTCTGAGGGTATAAAAGGACGCCATACCTTCCCCAAGGTGTGGCTATCTCCTCACATGCATTGTATCTGTATGTTCTGGATATAGTCCCACCCAGTATTTTGTTTTTGGCCTTAAATAAAATCTGTTTTTTTTTTGCAAGCCTCGTCTTGAGTCTCTCTCTTTGGCATTCTGGTGACTCAAGTATATTTTGTGACCTTACAAAACAACCTAAGTAAGATCCAACTGCTTGGTTTTAATTTTTCACACTGATTATAGAAGTTTGTTATACCATGATATTAGATTTTGTTTCATGTGTGTCTTATACCATAAATTAAGTTTGGGGGAATATATACATTAAAATAATGGTTTAAAACATGTCAGATTTTAATTGCTATACATTTCCCCCCCACAGATTACCATGGGTGATTTTGAAAAGGGTAAAAAGACCTTTGTTCAGAAATGTTCACAATGCCACACGGTTGAAAAAGGTGGAAAGCACAAGGTAGGCCCTAATCTCTGGGGACTCTTTGGACGGAAAACAGGGCAATCTGCAGGATTTTCTTATACAGATGCAAACAAGAATAAAGGTAAATTATATAGGTAAAAAGGCATAACAGTGGGAACAATTTGATGAAAATTGCTTTATAAAAAAGTTGGGTCAATATTAAATTATTTTAAAATAGTACCCCTAAATTAATTGGCTCCAGGGTCAGGAAAATAAAAATGTCAATTATTGATTACTTCCCATTTTAAATAGAATTGTTGGATATCTTCCGAAAAAACTTTCTAATACACTGTAATTAATGCTAGAGTAAGATTTCGCTGCACTCTTAATTTTGGCAAACTATATTCCAAACATCCTTGGTTAGCGTGCCAGTAGTAAGAGATGCTGGAGTTGTTAGTCACCAGTATCTGAGAGTTATAGGTTCTTCATTTCTGTGGAGGTGCATACTCTGTTTCTTTAGGGAGTATCTATGATTTATGTTTGATGTTGAGATATTATTAGATTAATAATTCATTCTATTTTTGGTGTGCTATGCATCTACTTAGGCCAATACTACAAGAATTTGTGTCAGAACTCTGCCTTGCTTTCAGACCTATGTAGCAAAGATCCAACGGTGGAGCTTGACAGTTTGTAGTATACTAGGGGTAGTTTTAGCTGGTGAGGAGCCTTTGTTAGTGCAGATTTTTATTTATTGCAAATGTCACTTAACGGGAGAATATTAGTCATATTAAACTGCAATTCTAGAGCCATCGTGGAGGAAATCTTCACTAAACGTAAAGGGGCCTGCTATGTTTCAATCATGGTGCTTGACTTTCAAGCTTTCTATATTCAGAGACTAGATACTGTGTCCTCTTTATATGGAGCTGCCTTTGAGGACTATTCAGAGTGGTGCAAAACGTAGCTGATTATTATCTATAAAGCTCTTTATAACTTTAGGGACCACCTTACATTTGGGGCCCTTTGCAGAATCCTCATTTAATATGGGGTGGTCAAGAAAGCAAGTGGTAGGTACCTACTCCTCAATATTACACACACACACACACACACACACACACACACACACACACACACACCCAGGACATGATCCCTTGGAACAACTTACTCCCTACCTGAAGTTAGAATTGTTAGTTCCCTTTTAATATTTAGGCAGACTGTTTTTCCTTATCCTGGAGCTTTGGGTACAGAGTCTACCGAGACTTGGCTCTTCCTCCAAGCATTAGGCAAGGATGAGGTTGAGCAGAGAGACTGTCTGGTGCCTGGGGTCTGTTTTTGGTTTCATGGATTTTTGTGAGCCTCTTAGAATTATTAAATGAGATAAGTGGCCATAAAAGTCTTTTAAAGGAATGAAAAGTCTGCAATTTAAGAATAGCAATTCATTGGTTGTCAGATCGTTAATGTTGGTATGTTTCATAATGTTACAAAGATATGACATTATACATACTGAATATTTTTGGACTATTATTATTTTTATTATGCTGTGAACTGCCTTGAGTCTTGGATGGAGGCAGTATATATAGATTATATAAATAAAATAAAAACGTTGGATTGTAATGAAAATAAAACCTATTACAATTGTTTTACAGTACAGTGTCTTGTTATTCTTCCACTATTGTACAGCAATATAGAACTATATCATTATTCACAATATATACAGTATATGTTAATACACACACCATTATCTTGAGCATTTTCATGGAGTGTGTGTGTGTGTGTGTGTGTGTATCCCATGAAATTGCTCAGGATAATGGCTTATTTTCCTATACCATATCCCTATAGGAAACCCAGCTAATTACTTTAATGGCAGGAATTTGAACTGGGTTTCTGATCTCTCCTAACTACAACACTTTTTTCTTTTTGTGCTGTAATGGCTTGCATTGTGACAGCTAAATCAGATTACTGAAATTCCGCTGCTGTCATTTCTAGTTATTTAGTTTATTCTGACAAGTTATACAGAGGGTGGCTAGATTCTTTATACATCAGTATTTATCTATTTCAGTTTTGTACTGACACATCTTTACATTGGGCACAGCCCATGGCAGTTGGCTTTTCTTTTTCTTTTTTCATCTACCTACTTTCAGCTGTTGAAGAAGGCAGATATTGTTAATTGCTCCCACTTAAGTTTGCTCCTCCAGAGAAACTTACTTGAATTGCACAAGATTATTCACATGTTTTGCTGAGCAGGAAACACTCCTTTCATGTTTTTTATGTTTAAGTTCTAATTCCAAGGGCATACTTACTTGAAACATTTACTTGAACATAAATTCAAATTAAATAAGCCTAAATATGGATAAGAGGGGAAGTTAATATTAGCAAATTATCGTCCTGTCTCCAACCTTCGCTTTGTTGCAAAGGTTGTTGAGAGTGTGGTTGCACGACAACTGCCTCAGTACCTGGATGAATCGAATTATCTAGATCCGTTCCAGTCGGGATTCAGGCCCGGGTACAGCACAGAGACAGCATTGGTCGCATTGGTTGATGATCTCTGGAGGGCTCGGGACAGGGGTTGCTCCTCTGTCCTGGTCCTACTAGACCTCTCAGCGGCTTTTGATACCATCGATCATATCATGCTGCACCGGTTGGAAGGGTTGGGGGTGGGGGGCACTGTTCTACAGTGGTTCTCCTCCTTTCTCTCTGACCGGTCGCAGTCTGAGTTGACAGGGGGGCAGAGGTCGACCCCGAGGCCCCTTATATGTGGGGTGCCACAAGGATCGGTCCTCTCGCCCCTTCTATTCAACATTTATGTGAAGCCGCTGGGTGAGATCATCCGTGGTTTTGGGGTGAAGTACCATCAGTACGCTGATGACACCCAGCTGTACATCTCCACCCCAGACCACCCCAATGATGCCCTCGAGGTGATGTCCCGGTGCCTGGAGGCCGTACGGATCTGGATGGGGAGGAACAAACTCAGACTCAACCCATCCAAGACCGAGTGGCTGTGGTTTCCGTCATCCCGATATAGTCAGTTGGCGCCATCTCTGACTATTGGGGGCGAGTCGTTGGCCCCCACAGATAGGGCTCGCAACTTGGGCATCCTCCTGGACTCACGGCTGTCTTTTGAAGAGCATATGACGGCCGTAGCCAGGAGGACTTTTTATCAGGTTCGCCTGATTCGCCAGTTGCATCCCTTTCTGGATCGGGACTCGTTACGCACGGTCACTCACGCCCTTGTCACCTCACGCCTGGATTATTGTAATGCTCTCTACATGGAGCTCCCCTTGAGAAGCACCCGAAGGCTCCAACTGGTACAGAATGCGGCCGCGCGGGTAGTAATGGGAGCAATGTGGCGCTCTCATGTAACCCCCCTCCTGCGCGAGCTGCACTGGCTCCCAGTGGTCTTCCGGGTGCGCTTCAAGGTTTTGGTTACTATCTTTAGAGCGCTCCATGGCTCAGGACCAGGGTACTTACGAGACCGCCTCCTGCCACCAATAGCCTCTCACCGACCAGTTCGCTCCCATAGAGAGGGACTCCTCAGGGTGCTGTCGGCCAAACAATGTCGACTGACGGCCCCCAGGCCTAACTCTCCCTTTTTAATTGGCTTTTAAACTGGCTTTTAAATTGGGTTTTAAACCTCTTTAGATAAATTTGGATGTTTTTAATCTTTGAGCCTAAATTACTTAATCTGTTTCTTAATAGTTTTTAACTTCTATATGTATTTGTATTTATTATGGCTGTTCACTGCCCTGAGTCCTTCGGGAGTAGGGCGGTATACAAATATGAAAAATAAATAAATAAATAATATAGATTTGATTTAGAAAGGGTTGGATTGTATCCAGCTTTATCTGCTTCTGACAGCGCAATTGACTAGCGCAATATATGCTTTTCCTTCATTTTATATCATATTATAGACTCATACTTAATTCTCAATTTATTCTATGTATGTCTCTACTGTACTTATTTATGAGCACATTATAAATACATCTAGTATTTAGGGGCATATACAGGATTGCAATGAAGTGGCATCTAAGGGAAACTCCGTTACATGGCGGAGTTCTAGTTGTATAATATTGAATACAGCATTAAATATATATCCCATATAGGATAGGAAGTAATAATGGTGAAAAAGCTATGTCTTTCCAGATATTGCAAACAACAGATTCCAACATTTCTTACGATTGACCCTTCTTGCTCAGGCTATTGGATATTTGTAATTTAGCCTTATAAAAATAAATAATATCTTTTAGGTCAAACAACAATGCTTTTAAGAATCACTTGAATATTAGAAAAAATGGTGCTACTACAGAGATGACTGAGGAGACATTTCCTCTGGCAATAGCTTTCTATTCCCTGTTATTAAAAAGAATCTACATGTTCCTTCAGTAGCTGAAACAGTTAGTTGGAGGGAGGAGGGAAGGAAAGGGAAGGAAGGAAGGAAAAGGTGGCTGCAGCTAGACTGCAGAATACTTTACTCCTTAGGATTTATCTAGCTGCCCATCTTTTAATATTTATTCATTAGTAAAACATTACTGATTTTTTGAACCCTTTGTTCAATTAGAAACATTATTTTTGTACACTTTAACATGATCTTATCTCTTTTTTTCAATTTAAACAATTTTATTAGTTTATAACTGTAGGAAGCTAGCATCTACCCCTCTCCTAGAAGAATGAGATATTATAGGAAATATTAAAAAGGCAGAATATTATATTTCCCTGGATGAGAAAAGAAGAAACATGTTTTTAAAGACAAAGCAGCTCCCTGCTCCCGTCCCCCACTTCAGCTCCAGGGTGATGGAATTAAGATCTTCACCCTCATGACATGATAGGATTAGCTTCATTACCTCATCACTCAGCAAGATTCAACCAAGCCTTGGACTCAAAGCAACCTAAAAAGTTACCCCTGCATGGCCTCATGGGAGTCTGACAACCTATCAGGATACCTGCCCTTACACGGAAACAGAAAGCTCCAAGGCGAGGCCCAAGAGAGGGTATAAATCTCTCTCTCCCTCACCCATGTGCTCGATTGCCCAGGATCTCAAACCATGTGGTCTTGTCCACCATTAAACCATCTTTCCAAATAGCCTCCATGTTTTCAGTGTCTTTCTCCCCACTTGAACTGAACCCAGATGGACATTTCTTCCAACATAACATAGCACACAAAGAAAATACAAAAGTAAATAGTGGGGAAATGAGGAAGAGAAAAGGGAAGAAAAGAGTGGGGGAAAGCAAAGGGGAAAAAGAAAAATTGACTTCCAACTCCCTTTGGTGCAGTAGAATAAGGCATTAAACATCAACCCTCAAATTTTTACTTTTGCATAATAGTATAAACTAGCCATTTCTATAACAACAAACCTATCTAATCAGTAAAACCTAAAATCAAATTTCATTTTTTTTCCACCTCAAGCACAGAGTCCAGAAGCAGTTTCCAAGTAGAAATAAAAGTATTTGTATTTTTTCTTTAGCCATCTCTGCTAAGTCCATCAGTTTTTGCAGCCATTCATCCATAGTGGGGATCGAGGTGACCTTCCATTTCTGTGCATAAAGTAGTTTTGTTGCTGTCAACATATATAACATCAAAGTTCTGAAATTTTTTCCAGGTCTTTTTCCTTAAACCCAAAAGAAAGGTCTTTGGTTTTCTTTTTATATTCACTTTAAGAATTTTCTGTATTAAGATATGAAATATTTCTTTGCTTTATCATACATCCACCCTTACATTTCTAACATTCATTTGAAATACCTTTATACATTCTTGACAAATTAAATACCAATGATACATCATCTTATAGAATTTTTCTTTAAAGTTTAATGTAAATTTTAAACCTTTATTCCACATATTCTTCTATTGTTCACGCTTTACCTTATATCCAACGTTTCTTGCCCACTGAAACAGACAATGCTTTTACTTGTTCATTTTCCAGATTTAAATTCAATAACATTTTATAGACTTTAGCAATATGTTCATCACTATCACACAATAGGATTTCCAATTCATTTTTAACAAACCAATAATTCTTTTTGTCTAATTTAAATCTTTCTTTCAATTGTAAATATAAAAAATGGCAGATATGACCTTCTGCTTCTAGCTCCTCCTTAGATTTGAGGGTAGGGTCACCCAAGTTAAAAGATATTATTTTACCATAAGTCCACCCATTCGACCTCATCACCATTTCTTTTCTTTAAAAAAAGTTTACTGTGAGGAAACCCAAAGAGGCACCTTTGTGGAAAACCTTGTTTTGTATTTATTCCAAACTCTCAAAATAGCACGTCTGACAAAATATATCAATTTCACAATGACACCAATTTTGTAAGAATAAATTACAAAAATAATTAATAAATCTATTACAATCAAAGTCTGGTTATAGAAAAAAAAGTCCCAATATAATTGAAGGGTGACAAGTAGGAAAAAACTATATGTTGTGTGTTGTATTTTAAAACAAATATGATCCTACTTAACGAGAAAAGTGAAAAGTTTGACACAAAACAAATAAAATTTGTTTGGTTGCAAGTCTTGACAATTTACTCTAGTTATGTTTTATTAACTATTACTATATAATCCTGATTATTTTATTGTGTAATATTGTGTAATAATATATATAATCATTTGATTATATTAGAAAGATAATGCCATGTGGTTTTGATATCAAAGTCAGAAACCTAGTTCTAGATACTGAAGTGTTTACTTAAATAATACCACTAAAATATTGACCAGTTCAGGAATCAACATTAACCAGTTGATAATTAAAATGTGCTTCAAAAGCTAGAGTATCAGATACGTACTGAATGTTAAATGAGATCTTACAATAATCAAAACTGGAATTTGCTTGACAATCTTTTTTTAGCTTTGGAAATTAAATTTTTTGGTGATACTTTGACTTAAAACCTTAACTGCTGGTTGGTTAGTATTATATTAATAGAATATGAAATAGATATTGCATAATTATTTATATTTTTCAGGTATTGTCTGGAATGAAAATACACTGATGGAATATTTAGAGGATCCAAAGAAATATATTCCTGGAACAAAAATGGTCTTTGCTGGCATTAAAAATAAAAACGAAAGAGCAGATCTCATTGCATATTTGAAAAAGGCAACTTCATCATGAAACACTGTAGTTTCTGACTATCAAAATATTCCGTCTGGTGTTTTATTATTGTTCTGGCAGGGGTTTATTAGTTATTGTATTAAAATAAATATATTTCTTTAAAAATTAAAGGAAAATAGTGTCTTTTCTTTTTACACACCCATATCCCAATAAGTCAGTTGTTCTTTTTATTTATTTATAGTATGCATAGTTATTCCTATTACAAATTTCTCAGTTTGAGACAAAAAATAAAGGAATTGGAAATTTAGTAATGATACCTAGACAACTTGGCTTAGATAAATATCTATGGAAGTTGATTTTTTGGAGTGATTATGTGTTATTTAATTAATAGAATAGAGAAGAGAAAAGAAAAAAAATAAGGTCATGGAGATACCTATTACTTTCTCCAGTAGTTTCATCATTATGTTTTTTCTAATAAAGCAGTTAAGAAAGCTTTTTTCAATTCTTAAAACAATCGTTGAAGTTCTCCGAAAATGTTCAGTCTTGAATAATACATTTTGCTGCCACAAGTCAATCAGTCCTTGTTTTTAAATGACGCATTGGATCATATTAACAGATCAGTGGTGGGATTCAAAAATTTTTACTACCGGTTCTGTGGGTGTAGCTTAGTGGGCGTGGCAGGGGAAGGATACTGTAAAATCTCCATTCCCACCTCACTCCAGGGGAAGATTACTGCAAAAACCCCATTTCCTCCTGATCAGCTGGGACTCGGGAGGCAGAGAATAGATGAGGGTGGGGCCAGTCAGAGGTGGTATTTACCGGTTCTCCAGAACTGGTCAGAACCTGCTGAATACCATCTATGTAATAGATGCAAATACCCATATCTGGAGACCCTTTACTTTGCAATAATGATTTAACCAAAAAATCTGAACCAATTTCGTTAAAAATTCTGTAGCAGAAGGTTTACTAATTTATTGCATGTTCCCTAGATATTGTAAAGAGATCCCTTTTGTGTATAGTCGCTCCAACAGTTTGAAGACAGATTCTGTAGGGTACATGCTAATTAAGGAGGGGTTAAAAGCTACCTGTGTAACTTCTTCACTCTTGGATAGTGACAGAAATTCCATAACAATTATCATTTTGGTCCATCTATTACATTCTTTAAATCAATATTCTAAACATTGGTTCAGTCAAGTGAGCATCCCCATCTGGATTTGCAATAGTAGCATATAGATCTTCGACATTACAGTATTCCTTTTGAAAGTGCCAAATAATTTTATATTAAGTTCACAAATTGCAGAATCCTAACTTTTTTCTTATCCAGGGAAGTGTTAAGTAATGCCAAAAAACCAAAACAACCTGTGCTGTGTTCAATCTTGCCTTTATTACACTAGCTGGTGTCAGTATAAAATCATCCTATAAAAATATACTAATTCTTAAATAATTTTAATTGGGTTAACCCATATTGATGATTCCCTCAAAAAAAAAATGTTGGGATGCTAGAGGGGAGATGCTACCTATCAATGTAATACTCCCCACTCCCCATTTGAAAAATTGCCTTGGTAAAGGCATTATTAAATTTTGTTTAGCTTAGGCTGAAAAAGTACCGTTTATCATTTTAAAGATGTCAGGCAATGATTCAATGCTTAGACAGTTTTCTAATGTAAATGGAATCAAATGATTTGTGCTGCTTGGTAACAGCTTTTAAAATCTGGAACCTCCCTACCTCTGTTTTTGTGGTCAATATAAAATCTGTCAATTGATTCTTAGAAATAAAACAAGCTTCCAAGCTTCCAATCTTTATTTAGTAATGTAATGTTTTGTCTGGAAATTCTAATGGAAGGGATTGAAATAAGAAATTAGGACTTGAAAGAACCAACAGTTGCAATCCAGTTTAAAGTATTCAAATTATTGGTTTGACTTTTCCTTTTTTCCCCAGGCTGCATTAAAATTTATTTCATTTGTTTATTAAATTTGTTTGCTGCCCATCTTGCCATCCTGGGCAACTTACGTTAAATGTAAATGTAAAATTATTACCAAACACTTTTTAAATATTCTTAGTAATATTATTTAGTAAATATTCTCTATGGGTATTTTTAAGGATTTGAATGCGATTACTGTAAAAATATTCTCTATGGTATTTTTAAGGATTTGAATGCGATTACTGTAGGATTCTTAAAGCATTAGATACCGCTCTCTGAGTTGCAAGGGGAGTATGGAAGTACATCAATTTTTTTTTTAATTCAGTGAGCAGCCTAATACCTGTGCAATCCAAGGTTTTTTAACATGTTTGGCTGAAGAGCTAGGATTCAACAATGTAAATACCATGTCACCTGCAAATAAGATTAGTAAATATCAATTCCCAAATTTAATCTCTTGAATTTGATTATTAGCCTGCCATGCAATTGTTAAGACTTCTAAAGCCAAATTAAATAAAGAGGTGATGGGTGCCTCCTCATTTAATTCCTCTCAAAATTACAGTCATAATTGCTGAGCCTCATCTGTGTGTCTGTTAATGTAGAATTAACCATATTAAGAAAACAGGGTCCAAATTTAAATTCCTTTAATACCTGCTATAAAAGTAAGCCCCCTCCTGAGAATTCAATACCTTCAATATATCCAGTGAATATTTAACTGAAGGAGTCATATTTACTTCTCTAAAATGTGTGATATTTAACTTTTCTTAATAGGTATAAATATATATTTCTTTTTGGAATAAAATCAGTTTGATCTAAAAGAACGGTTCAAACTTTAAATAATCATATTTACAATAGATCTACTTATAAATTTGCCAGTATTTTTTGCATATGATTTATAATCCACATCAAGAGGTGAAATCAGTCTATAAAAAGTTAGCTCCTGTGGGTCTTTTCCCAACTGATATTCATTGGCAATGGTGGCACCAGCAGCACTGGAGCTGAAGTAGAGGCCCAGGGCTTCAGCAATCTCAGCCAGCTGCCATTACCCCCAGGACTCTAGTTCAGCTCCAGTACTGCCAGTGCTACCAAAGATTGCCGCCCTGTACCATAGCCAGCTATCCCAGTGCCATGGTGGGTAGCGCCACCTACCCCTGCCACCCTGCACTCTGCAGGCCCTAGCACCTCCAAATCACACATTGCCTTCTCAGCTTACAATAAAGCCATACCTGCTCCTCTCCAAACTGAAGAGGAAGATAACTAGGTAGGGAGAGTACTCAGTGGTATTGCAAGTAGGGCTGTATAATGTCTACCTTTAAAATAACATGCAGTTCAGCTTCCTTTTTTAAAAAAGTTTTCAGGTCAGAGAAAAACTGATCGATATAAGTAAAAACACACAGGATAACACCACTGTAAAAATAAATAAATACATTCTCCCTTCCTCCCCCAAAAGGTTGTAAGAGCAGGCAGCCTGCCAAGAGTCCGAATTTTGATCATGTGACTGCAGGGTCGTTGCAATGGCCATAAATGCAGGTTCAGGGCATAAGTACAGGTAGTCTTCAAGCTACAACCACAACTGAGCCTCAAACTTGTTTTGTTGCTAAGTGAAACATTTGTTAAGTGAGTTTGCCCCATTTCACGCCTTTTCTTGACACAGTTGTTAAGTGAATCATTGCATTTGTTAAGTTAGTAACATGATTGTGAAGTGAATCTGGATTCCCCGTTGACTTTGCTAATCAGTAGGTCTCAATGACCTGATGGTTCTCAATGACCCCAGGACACGACAGCTGTCTGATAAATCATCAGAAAAAGAAGAAAAATTCTCCATTAATTCTGTCAAGCAAATTTGATTTAGGAAAATTCTTAACGCCAATCACAAAACTTTTTTCTGTTCTGTGTAGCTGAGATGCCAGGAAGTTAATGCAATTTTTCACAATGGGCTTTCATTTTTGGTTAGAGACTTTGTCTTGGATCTGCTTAAGGGTGTTATTAGTCTCTGTAGTTGTTGTTTGAAGAAAAGAGACAGACTCAGGATTTCCTGCAACATAAAATTATAAATTGTCTGGAAGATCTGCTTTTGAAAGAACAGATGGGATGACACAGCTGGAGCTGCAATAGAAAATTTCTTGGCTTTAGTTGACATAATAAGAGCAAAGCAATCAGCTATGGTGAAATATTACAATATAAACATCCTTAATTTACCAGATTGATGAAATATTGTAGAGGCAGTACAGGATTAAACGTAGTTCAAGAAGAAAATAATCAGAAAAGGAGAGACATGAGCTCCCATTACTATCTCCAACCAAAAGTCCTACGTCTATGGAAGTGTACAGTGTACAGATATATATGACTGACCATCTTATTTCCGAAGTCTGACAAGAATTGCAGAAGGAAGGGGAATACAAGGCACCTTACAGGTCGCCCAGTAACACCTACACATTTACTTTACATGCAGAGAATCTGTACATTTCAACTTATTTTATTTTTATTCAGAGCAGGGTTTTTTTGGTGAAATCATTGGAACAAGTGACTATCCTGGTAAAATAGTCCTGTTTGTCCAATTCTTTTCTAATTCTAAATATTTGGAGCATGGATGAAGATCAGTATTCCTGTTTCCTAATGTGCATTTACAAAACATTACGAGCCTGCCAGTTCTATATTGAATTAGACACATCTAAGTCCATTTAAATCAACTAATTTAAGCATGCCTATTTCCGGTCTGAATAATAGCCTTTCTATGACAAAGCATAGATTCCTGCTATAGCCATACGAACATGTTTTGCAGCAAAGAGAGAAGCAAAAACATTATGATAAATGGAATTTGAGACAAGAGATCATAAAAGATTTCCAAAGACCATGCATCGCAGGTTAGTTATTTAATTTCCAAATATACTGTAAAGGGAAAAAGTTGTATTGAAATTAGTGGGGGGGGCGCACATTTCCCTTAGTAAAACTACATTCAGTAACTAGGTGTTCTTGAAATCCACTGTCCAACAAGTACCTATAACTTTGCTACCATAATCAGAGATAATGACTAAATTAAAGGTCCAAGGTGACAACAAAGCATTAGGCGAGGGAAAGCTGAAAAAGATTTATTGTAATCCAAACTTTAGATAAGCAATTCACATAATGGCTTAGGCAACTAACCTGCTCTGAGGATAAGAGACAATCACATCCTAATTCCAAAATAAATCTTCTTCTGGGTGCCTCAGATTCTTAAAATGTCCCAGAGCAGGAGCAACAGTATCTGGTTTTCCTGAACATATTATCAATAAATTGCCTTTCATCATTTACACCACAAACATCTCTTGGCAACTGCTTTTTTCTGCTGTATCCTCAGGATAAAGGATCCTCTTTAGCTGATCCCCAACACATAACCGAGGCACCTTTAGCTGTGCATAGCTGCTTTCTGCCTTATTCTAAAACTATCTAGGGCATATAAAATCCATTAAGCTTTGTCATCCACTATCCTGGAGGGAAATTGTGTGAGAGTGATTGGGAACAGAGAGAATAGAGACCTGATCAGAATCAGCAACGGGGGACAGTCAATTCCATACCAAAGTAGTTTTTCTGTCTATGCCAAAGATGACAGAAGAACACTTGAACACCTATTGATGGGAAAAATGACCCTGATGAGGGAAAAATGATCCTGGTGAGAAAAGAATAGGATGAAATGGGCCTACTCTTGCAGAAGGGCTCTTGGCATATGGTGGCATACAAAATTTACCAGCAGAGCCCATTTGGAATTTCTTCCCACGTGGTGCACGCTTAAAAAGGAACCCCCTGATTGTGCCAGCAACCTTCTGGAGGCTTTGCAGCTCCTGCTATCCTACTTCCCCAGGAAAAGCGAACAGTTGGAGAGGGGGTTACTTTGCAAGCCCATCATCTTGCAGTGAGCAAGTGAGCTAGCCAAGCAAGCAAAATGGAAATGATTCTTAGCAATATAAATAGGGAAGATATATAGATCCAAGTTAAATCTGATTGCAGTGAAATCACAAATATTACAGTGCTGAGAAGCTGGTATTTATTTCGTGCTCCTTTCTTGCATCCGTTTTGCTTGATTCAGCTATATAATCTGGGACAGATATTTAGGTCACAGTTTTCGAAGTGACCATTCTTTTGTTCATTTCAATTACTGTTACTGACCAAGTTTGTATGCTGCTCTATGCTCCTCCATTAAGGATCAGCTAAGCTTCATCAAGTTCCATATGTCCATCTTTGATCTCTTCAACTTTTTGGATCTGTCTTCAAGTTTATCATTTTAAAACATCTGGAGCTCAATCTGCTTTGTGAACCTATTTCTTTGGTCAAGTGTGGAATCTAATTCTACAATCATTGGTGAAAATTCTGAGAAAGGAACTCTGCATACATACTATTTGCTTAATATAACAACCCGTTCTGGGATTGAGCTTTAGCACAAAAACAGTTCCCGGTGAGCTTCAAGCTTATTTTCTTTCCCTTCCAAGCATGTTGAGTTCTTAGATATTTGAACTAAAGGCTTGCTGTGTACTGGGCGCCCGTGGAGAAGGCCTGACATCTCATTCATGAATATTTGAAACTGCTTTCATTCATGTCCCTGCATCCTCACATGCTGAGATCCATAACTTCAATTTAGCTATGAAATGTGCTTCTCCACGTGTGGATAAGAATAGCTCCACGTCAGTCCATCTCAATGGAAGCTGCCCAGATTTTTGTCTCACTGCGAGAGGAGGCACGGAAACTGCATGTTTGCAGTTCTTCCACCAGACCTTAGCACTGGCACATTTCTGTGGAAAGGCAACCACGTGCTTAACCATTTGGGGGAGCACCCAGTTGTACAAGCAGTCAGCTGTCCCTGACTCTGGGTTTTTGTCATTATCCTTAGGTATTTGTGAGAACTGAAGAGAAAGTCGAGATCTTGCCTTGCCGCTGCTTTCTCTTTTAGGGGAAAAAGAGGCAGTGATATTTATCAGCAAGTCATTTTGTGCAGGAGGCATTCATTCTAAAGAGTAGTAATAATAATAAAAAAACCATATAAATCAGAATGGAAGCCCACGCCTGCTTTCTTGAATGGAATCCCATTTCATTTAGTGGGGTTATTTTTGAGCTGACCTACCAAGAGTTCCCTGCTACAGAAGGATCCATTTCTTATGAGTAATGTCTGCACTGAAGGATGGAATCACACACAGGGTTACAAGAAAGTAAGGAGAGGGCAACAAACTACAGCTGTTAACCCACAGCTTGCCAAAGCTTCTGCGTTCCTTTGAAACATCCTACATACAGAGAATTTTAAATATTAATGGAAACATAAGAGGGCGGAGTGGGGGGGGAGTTGTCCTATTTGGAACCATTCCATTAAAAACAACAAGGCCGAAGTCTTCATAACTGTATTTAAAACGGGTGTGAAATCCCTCGGCTTTCCCTCCCCCTAACAAACTTATGCCCCGACAAACTCACAGCCTCAAACATAAACGCGCGCGCCTCAGTTACAAATCACAGAAGCGCGCGCGCACACAGCCCTACCATCTCTACCCATATTCTTTCACCCGCATTTCAAAATATTTCGTCTCTTGTCCCCCACCTTGCCCCTCACCCCGGTACAACTCCATCTTCTGCCCAGCGGCATCTATCGCCGAGCTCCATCGTTTTAAAGGAAGACTTGGAATACGTCGAGAGCCATTAGCCAATATACTGTATGTACCACGCTGGTGCAATCTCCGTTTTGGCTTTATGAGAAGATCGGAATGAGGGGGGGGGGGAGAGAGAGAGAGAGCGATCGATGTCCGCCCCTCCCCTTTGACGCCTTCATTCATTCTGCTGCTGCCTGAATTCCAGCACAAAAACGCCTCCAGGCAGAAGAGAAGGCGCTGCCTCTTTCGCCGCCGGCTTCTGCTTTGTATCTCTTCCCCTCCCTCGCTCAGCCCGTGCGCCCTCCTCCCCTCTCCCCTCCCCTCCCCGCCCTCGTTTCTTCAACGCTCTGCTCTGGCCGGGTTACGCAGCCGCCGTCGCCGGCAGGAGCAGTATAGTTAGCAAGGGCTTTTTGACAGCCGTCCCCGGAGAATCCGCGGCAGCTCCGGTTGGGTAATTGGGAGCGGAGGGACGGCAGAAGTCCGCAAGAAACACCCGGACGCGGGAAGCAAAACGGGGTGTGCGTTTATGCGAGCGCTTGCGCTTGGGTGGAATATGGAGAAGCCGAAGTAAAATCGGGAAAGAAAGAGACGAGTTTGCAGAGAGCAGGGAAGAGGCAGATCGCTAGCAAAATTAACAGGAAATGGAGGGAAAAAGCAGAGCATTGGCCAACAAGACGCAGAGCTCAACGCTGAGTTTCTTCATTCGGCGGAGCGCCCCGGACGGCTTCGGATGTACCGCGCGAGGGCTTAATGCCTTGTAACCAGCTTTGGTGCCTCCTCGGGACGTGGGAATTAGTGGCTTAGATTTCCCACCGCTTTTGTGATCAACGGAGATTGCGGCATGAGGCATAAGTAGCACCGAAAGTTCCTGCGGGTGGGGGCAAGGCGAGGCTACCGGGATCATGGCAAACCCTGCCGGCTTGGACTCCGCCACGGTGGAAGGTTTCTTAGACAGACACCCGGAGCTGGTGGAGAAGTGGCTGAAGAGGAGAACCGCCTTTCTTAGTAAAGGAGCTCCCGCGGGATCGCCTGACTTCGGCGACGGCGGGGCGGTAAAGCAGCCAAGCAGACACCACAACGGTCTCTCGCCGCGGAGCAGTTCCTCTTCCACAGTCTCCCCTGGCCCGGAGCCGACGGCCGGCGGGCTGCTGCAACACCGAGGGTCCCAGAAAGAGCTGAGGAAAAGTTTCGCGCGCTCCAAGGCGATCCACGTGAACCTGACTTACGACGAGCACCTCCACGCCAGGGCTCAGGAGCCGCTGAGCAGCGCGAGGAGAAGGGCGCTGCTGAGGAAGGCCAGCTCCCTGCCGCCCAGCACGGCGCACCTGCTCAGCGCCCTGCTCGAGTCCCGGGTCAACCTGCCCCAGTACCCGCCCACCGCTTTGGACTACAAGCGCTACCTGAAGCAGCACAACGAGCGGCAGTTCTTTCTGGAGCTCGTCAAGGACATTTCCAACGACTTGGACCTCAGCGCCCTCAGCTACAAGATCCTCATCTTCGTCTGCCTTATGGTGGACGCCGAGAGGGGCTCCCTTTTCCTGGTGGAAGGCGGCGGCGGCAAGAAGAGCTTGGTCTCTAAGGTCTTCGACGTGCACGGCGGCGCCCCCGTCCTGCCTTGCTACAGCACGGAGAACTCCAACGAGATGCAGCTGCTCTGGGGCAAAGGCACCGTCGGTTATGTGGCCGAGCACGGTGAGACCGTCAACATGCCCGACGTTTACCAGGTACGGCTGGCGTTTCAGCAGCCCTCTTGGCGACTCGATAACCATAACAGAATAACTTTATAAAACTAAGGTCTCCGGTTTAGACGGTAAAAAAAAAAAATACCAACACCACCAAAACAAAATCCTGCTTAAATTCATACTGTAGTTATCCAGAAGGGCAGCGTGGGAAGAAATCTGTTTAGATGAAAGCATAATATCTTGCAGAAATGCAAGAGATCTCCCCCTGGTGCCGGTTATCTAGGAGCTGTTACACATGTTTTGTGGCGAGTTGGGAGCAAAGAGATTTCCTATTTATGTTTAAATATACGTTCATGTATAAATACAACGTGCTGTCAGAGAAGGTTGTTTGCAGTCAGAGTAGCCGAAAGAATGGTTCCTTTGTGCTTATATGTGTGTGATTAAAGGATTCAGATGAGTGAGAGATAGATGGCAGCAGTTGTGTAATAATTTATGGCCAAAGAATCCTGTGTGGATTAAATTAAAGACTCAAGATAAGTCATGCATATTTTTTCCTCAATGGCCAACTAGAGGCTGAAGCAAAACACAAGTAGTCTTATTTTATTCTTCAGCAATTAGTATTGAGAAGTTTATTCTTGCTTTGACTGCTAAACCTAATCGGTTTCTTGATTAATAACCGTTATAGCCTTGCCATCCCTCAAATAAATGCGCTTCTGATCACTTGTTTAAGTCCAGCTGGATCTCTAGATAATAGTAATTTTGGACCCATGAAGGTGCCTATCAGTGTATCCAAAAGCGAACCACAGTGATGCCAAAATGACAACATGCATGTAATAACCATTATGTAAAAATAAAAGGCTCAATTTGCCCTTCTGATTGCATTCATTTGTATTTATTCCAGCTGTAGGGATGGGATAGTTTGGCCGGTGCATAGTATTTAAAGGGAACATCATGGATTTATGTGAAAACATTTTGGTTTTGACTGTTTTACTCTTAATATTGCTATGTATCATTTCATAAATAATTTGGAAAATATGCATTGGAAAATAGGGGAGTGTAAATAGAGAACTCTTGTCTGTAGGCATCTAAAGAAAATAAGGGACAAAACATCCATTGCAACTTAAGCTGCACCGTTACATGCCGTATCATGATGCAAATACGAAAGGGTAGAGTTCATATCCTGATGTCACAATGCACAGGTAGTGTTCTCACATCAACATGATCAGCAGCATCAAGAGAGATATCTATGCCCTTGACTGCAACTTTTGAAAGCAGCCATCTCTATTCCCAGGATCACATACTGCTCTCTGCAGCTAAAATATCCTGGGAAAAGATTTGGCTGCTTTAAAGAGGTGCAGATAAATTCACATTTCCCTTTTGAAATGGAATCCAAAACATTGCACAGAACTAATTTTTAGTTCTTGGTCTAATATTCCTTAACATGGTATTTGCTTTTTTAAACTGCTTTGTACATTATGTAGATGTTTTCATTGGCCCTGTGAATTCTTACCAAATTAGTCATTGCCAGAATTTAATAATCCTCCTGGTTATTTGTACAGACAAATCCATTTGTAGAAAAAAAACAGGTTTCCTTTATGTGATTGACACAGAGACTGATTAATAAAGACATTATTAGGTGGAAGTGCCCAGGTTAGTATATAGGACAGTGCTACTAAATACAAGAAGCTGACTAGCAGGAAAAAAAGGCAGTCTTGTTAAGGGGTATTATTATACTATACCTCTAGAATTGATTGGCAATAAATTAAATGTGATCAATAAAAATACTTTTTTATGTAGAACAGACAAATTAGTTGGCTAGAATAAATGGCTTTTACGTAGATTGCCTTTATAGTAATGGGAGTGGAGGGGCTACATCATGATTTTTCTGTAAATCACCATCCAGAACATGTTTAATTTTGGCTTCTTATTATTTAGTAACCTATATTAAGTCATTTTCATTCCCAAATATAGTTTGTTTTCATAAATACAGGTAGTGTAAATTTGATTGATTGATTATGTGTTAATAAAGTTGTTTCCAATTCTTAGCAATCACATAGCTACATTTTCTTCAAGGTGATCTAGCCTTAACCTGTTCTTTCAGGTCTTCCAATGGTGCACTCATCACCATTGTAACTGAGTCCATCCACCTTGCTGCTAGTAATTCTCTTGTCTTTCCTTCTCTTTCTCCCAGTATTAGAGTCTTCTCTAGAGAGGTAGATCTTGGCACAATGTGTCCAAAGTAGAATAATTAGAGCCTAGTCATTTAATCCTCAAGTACGAACTCTGGGTTGATTTGTTCCAGGGTGGATTTGATTTAAATCGAGTTGATTTAAATCACAATTTAAATAATGATTTAAATCACTAGTAAAAAGGCTTGATTTAAATCAACTCGATTTAAATCATAATTTTTAAAGAGCAACTGTCATCTCTGCTACTCCTTTGACCCACTATTGACTCACCAATAGTCCCAGTGTTGCAGATTATACAGCCTCATGCTACATAACTAAGCTCCATTTCATGCTGAATAAACTAAATTATTTATGTATCTTAAATAGAAAACTATCTTACGATAGATTTTTACCCCAAAAGTTTTTTATTAAAATAAATTCGATAAAAATAAAAAAAATCCGATTTTAATCAAAAAAAATTTGTTCGATGGTCTATTTGTTTTCTTGGTTGTACTTGTAAATTTAGACTTATGGTAGTTAGAAGGCTGACTAGTATGTGAAATTACTTGTATGGAACTAGTTATTCTTATTCTATTTACAATTCTAATAGATAAAATTGTGGGAAGCAATATGAAATGTAAACACACCGATTTACTGACTGACAGTCTCACTGTAATGTAGAGCTCCTGATTTAAGAGACAGAAGGAACAGATGGATTACAAAATACTTGTGATTAAGATCTGGGGCACGTTACAATATTTATTAAATCTGTTCTGCCATATGTTCATCTTTTATAAGGTTTATCGTTAGGTCTCAGCTTTTCATCTAAAAGAGTAAAGTCACTGATTTAACCCAACCCTATAAAACACTGTGTGCCATTCTGGTTTTGGAACTATATCAAGACTCATTTGTCTCCAATTATTCAGCTGCTTTTAACACAAAGAGCTATGGACTTAGATCTTAGTCAGAGATTCACTATGGAAGGAAACTGCTGTAAATGATAATTTATCAAAACTACTTTCTTCTCCTGCAAGCTGAGTGCTTGATCAGTTTTACAGCTTTTTTCTTCTTGCTTAAAAGTAAACCTGTGGATTTACTTCTATGCCTATTGTATGCAACAAGTTGCATTATATTTATTAAAAAGTGTTTGGTTTAACTAAAAAGGACAAATACTGCTACATCAAGCAAATATGAGCTTCTCTATCAAAAAATATGGAATTATTTTATATCAGGGAAAGGAATTGTGCTCAAAAAATTTCCACCAAAAATAACTGTTTTCCAATAATAACATGTTGATTACAATGGCAAAAGAAATACCAAATTTGGATCTTCATTGTGGACTGTTCAATCCAAACATCAGTGCACTCACTTCTTATATGTTAAACTATGTCTCCATTGTGATTACTGTATTAATTTCTTGCAGGTAGCCAGATAGTGCTTGGATTGCAAAAATCTATCTCAACTTAGTGTCCTTTCAATGCATTGAACTAGAACTCTAGATACAATAGTGGGAGTTGTTGCCCAACAGGTATGGAGGACTGAATTATTAGTGATGTTAAGTTTCTACCATGGGGAACTTATGACACAACTAAATACAATAGTTAAAATATAGAAAATAATTTAATAGGCAAATACCAAAATACTTTACTTAGATCACAGAAGTCTAATTCAAATGTATAGGATGTATAGGATCTGGTCTGGTGATAATACTAAAAAGGAACAGGTATGATCAGGAAATGAAACCAAGTTTCAGTTTTTACAAGAGAAATTCAACCATTTAAGAATATTTTGTTTTGAGAAGAAAAAAGTGGGAAAAGAAATTACCATAGGCATCTGTTCCTAATCAATGTTAAATCAAAGTAATAAAACATCTTGTGAAATCATCCCACAAGTTTCATTCACCTTTATAGGGTAACTGTCAGGTTCTCAACATGCAGAGTTTCCACTGTGATACATATTTTGTCATTTTCCTCACTTTTTCTGTGGTGTCCTATGGACATGACATCATAGAAAATGAAGACTATTGTCTATTGTCTAGAGGGCAGGAATAAAATAATATATTTAAATTACAGTAAAGTAGATGTTTAATGCTGGGAGGATAATAGCCAAACATTTGGAGCAGTTAATAAGGAAAGAGCAGGAAATGAAACAATTAACTGGAGAGGTGGAGGGTTCCACTTTACTGGATATAGTCATATGGAGTTAGTCAGCTTTCTCTCATGGATGCTTTATTTTAAAGTTCTGCAGCCAAATAGGCAATTGGTATGATAGTCTTAGTGGACCCTTTCAAACTGTTGCATTCCATGAATTTAGTTCTCATTTTAACTCCCATTTTTCCTACTATTACTTCTGTAGAACTACCATAACCAGGATGACTAGAAATGGTAGCAAAGAGTTCATTTTTTTGTACCTCTTTGCTGCCATAGCCACCCACAGATTTGTAAATGAAACTGATAGTTCTAACATCTTTTTTTTCCTAGAAAATAATTGAACAAGTTAAATGATATAATAGTTGTGTAGTGCTGCTTGAACATGTTATGAATTCTTTGTCTGAAAGGATAGATGACAGTCGTGGTTTGGAGGGCATTTGCACATATTCTTCTTGTGTGCTGATGATACCTGTAAGAATAAGAATTAACCCTTTATCTTATAGATTGTTACTACGAGCCAGCTCACACTTACTCTCAATACACTCAGGGATAAATGAAATATTAAATAATCACAGATTTGAAGAAATCTCAGAGTGGTCAGAAAAAGGAAGCCGGGTATTTTTTGTTTTGTTTATTGAGTGTTCTTTTGAATATTGTTATGGATCTAACCCTATGCCTTTACTTTATAGTAATTTTACAGAATTTGACACTTTCCTATTGAACA